TTGTGCTACAGTATCCAAAAATTATTTTTTACCCTAAGTATAAGAAATGTGTGTTTTAATAAATGATGCATAATAAATTACCTTTTATTGACTCCTCAACTCCGTTTATCTCTTGTTCCTGTTGACTCAAGTTTTTTCGCTCTTTTGGGCGTAAAGTAGTCGTCTGCTATTCTTCATGAGGTCATCATTTCATTTCTATTACTTTGACAAATGATGTGAACSTGAAACAGAGCAATCAAGTTCAGAATTACAAATAACAAGAAACTCAGACCGCCCCGATCTGAATAAATACTGAGTGTGTCTCCTGCCTCCTCAGTCTAAAACCATGCTCTTCTCTAGCTCCAAGTTCTGTAAGTGAAGCTGTTGGAGAAATGATACTGTGACTTTCTATTGATGTTGTTTGCATTTGGAAAATGATTTAACTTGCATTGTTTTTTTTTCAGTGCTGGCAGCAAGCTGTCTGTTTGTGCATGCAGGTAATTATCCGTCATGCAGATGTGTTCATACTTTTTGATGGAAATGTATACTTTTATTGATTGTATTTTATTAGGCAGTCCAGCAGAGATGGTCACCACCTGTGAAGAGTGCATGCCTCATCGACTGAGCTGTGGTATGATATTTATACATCAAAGTTGCTCTTCTTTCCTTTTTTTAATGAAGCGTGTCTTGCTTGTCCTGTTTTCTGTCTCTTGACTCCAACAGAACCAGATGGAGTGATCAGTGTTCAGACCTCACTGTACGGACGTGCAGACAGAGTGACCTGCAGCGAGGGGAAAAGCCAGAAAGTAGTTCTCAACACCCACTGCTCTTTGGTGGGCGTCGTTGATCAAGTCAAGAAAAGGTGACGTGACTCATCTGTGTGTATAAAGTGTTAAAATACGACTTTAGTGTAAATGTAATTCTCTGATTTTTTTCTTCAGCTTGTCTTGTGTTTTCTTCCTGCAGATGTAATGGAAAAAAAGTGTGTGAACTGAGCTCTAAGATCTTCAGAGGATCTGATCCCTGCAGGGGCACTGCCAAGTATCTGCAGACCACCTACACCTGCCTCCCAGCTTGTCAGTCTGTTCTTTTATCTATTTATCAGGGACATGGCCATCTACAATTAAGTCATGTTTTATTAGTTTAAAAAGATCACAGAACCTGTTTAATGTGATCCGTGCTACTTTTTCAGTTCATCTGAAGACGTGTGAGCACTCCTTGGCTCACCTGCAGTGTGGTAAGATTTAATTTCCCCTCTTTTAGATGACATTTACATTTCAAAGAAAGCACTTTTAAAAAAAAAAAAACTTGTTTCCACTCTCAGCTGCAGGACTGGTCATCTCTGTCTACGGAGCTGATTATGGGCGCAGAGACCAGACCACATGCAGCTTTGGGCGCCCGTACTCGCAGATCAAAAACACGGCCTGCTCAAGCCCCTCCAGCAAAGTTTCTGACAGGTGAGTCTCTCTTTTAATACCTTGGAAACTAATGCTTTAACGAAAGCAGCATCTTGAAACAAAAAGATCTAAATGTCAAACTCTGCAGAGGTTGTTCATCTGTTTTCACTGGTTTCTCCACAGCTGCCAGGGGAAAAACAGTTGTGTTATCAGAGCCTCAAGCTCTGTGTTTGGAGACCCCTGTCGTGGAACATTCAAGTACCTGGAGGTGGCTTACACCTGTCAGTGTGAGTATACCGGATCTATTTTACATCTCATTACACATCATGGTTCAAATCTGACCAAAAATTTTACCTTTTTTTTTGCAGTTCCTCAGTACATTTCAAACCATGTGTAAACACACACACTTAAGTTCCTGCTTTTTTTGAAATAAACAAAAAATAAAAATCAGCTGTGTTGTGTTATTAACCAACGATCACGTCTTCAGTTCTCTCCATCGGCTTCCTGTTTACTGCTTACTTTTAAAATTCTAAAGTTCTGGCCCCATCATCCCTTCGTGACATCTACACTCCAGTCAGAGCATTTTGAAAAGATCAGCTTTTGCAGTTTCTGCCCCAAACCTGTGGAACGGTTTACCTTTTGCATATGAACCGCCGAGACCTTCAAGATTTTTAAATCTAGACCTATCTTTACTCGATGGCTTTTGATGCTGGCAGAACTTGAGATTCTTTTAGAGCTGATGGTTTTATGTTGTATTTCTATATTTTATATTCATGCTACTTATTTTTGAACATTTCTCTGTTTCATCTGTTCTTTTGGCTGAATGTGAAGCACTTTGATCATCTTCTGTTATTTTTATGTGATTATGAATAAATTGATTTTGGCATTAACTGTGGTTTCATTGTTTCACTATATTGTCACAACTGCTTGATTAAAAATAGGAGTTTCATGACTTCAGTTAAAACAAGGCAATTGGTTATTCTGATTCTTCAGAAATAGTAGGGAAAAAGTTAGCAGTAGGTGACTTTGTGACATTATGAATTGTATCAGTGCTTTTTTACAATGGCTGATTTAAAATGATCGCTTGGAGCACCTGGGTTAAAAAAACACTTTTAAAGCATTTTATTTGATGTTTACCTTATGTAGCTTTTTCACATGTTAAATGTGAAAGCTTCTGCCCAGAACACATTGTCTCAACAAGATTGTAGAACATAACTTTTAGGGTCTGCAGCAGAGGTGCCCAAAATGGGGCCCGCGGGCCAAAATTGGCCCGCCAAGCCATTTGATTTGGCCCACCAGTAGTTTTTAATTGCCTGTCATCCTCTGTAGAAACTCTGTATTTCCATGTACAGTAATTACATCCGATGGTTCAATGACTAAATAAGGGACTGTAGCACAGATAGCTGACTTTGTCACTGAATTATATTAAGATTATGAATAAAATACAAGAAACCAAAGACGATATTTACATAAGATTTAAGCACACATGTAGATTTGAAAACTTTATGAGACTACAAATACTCATATTTTATCAATATATGAAATGTCCCATGAGCCTTTGCTGCCTGAGCAAGTGTACAGATTAAAAACACAAACAAACAAAACATGGGCCACTGCACTGGCTCTTGGTTTAATCATAAAAAGTAAAAGCACTTTATGTCCTGATGCATCTCAGTAATCCAGGTAAAAAATCAAAGGAAAAAAATTGTATAGGTCCTCTGGACGGGTTCTTCTCTAATGAAACGTTTCGTCTCTCTTCCAAGAGACTTCTTCAGTCTGAGAGTTTCAGGCAAAATTCAGGCTTTTGAGTCCTGCCTCCAGGTGACTGATACTCATGTAATGTGAGTATCAGTCACCTGTGAACGATAGCCATGTGATGTGAGTATCAGTCACCTGGAGGCAGGACTCAAAAGCCTGAATTTTTGCCTGAAACTCTCAGACTGAAGAAGTCTCTTGGAAGAGAGACGAAACGTTTCATTAGAGAAGAACCCGTCCAGAGGACCTATACAATTTTTTTCCTTTGTTTCTTTTGTATATTTTTAATTACGTAAACCTTTTTTCCACCTGATAACTGAGAATAACAGTCAGGTGGGGATGAGGACAGCTGTAATCTCTGTCTTCAGTTC